GTTAAATATCTTTTAGGATTTTTGAATTAATATCGCAAAAATTATATTTGTTTCTGTAAGAAATAATGTGAACGTTTTTGCTAATAATAAACTATGTATTGTGAAAACGTAAAAAATATATTTTAACGTATAAATATGTTAGTAAACACAATATTCAGCGGTATGGAACTCTCGATGAGCAAGTCAAAATCATACTCACACATTTAAAAATGATTATAGCAATTAAATAATAATTTATAACATAAAGTTTGGCTTTATGTTAGGTGAGTTGAGTGTGTTTGTTTTTTGTGATTTAAACAACGGCGAAGCCGCGGGTTCTGCTAGTCGTAACTAAAATTCGTACATTTTTAACATAACTATGACCAATGCGATCACATAATTTTTTTTCTTATAAATAAATAATAAATAAATGAATATGTTTGGATATTAACACACAGCACCATCTAGTTCCATGGTAAGCTACGAGGCTTATGTCATGGATACTAGATAGTTGATACACTACATATTATATATAACTTTAAATACATACATATTATAAATATAAACACCCATGACTGGAGTACAAACATTCGTGCTCATCACACAAATGAATGCCCCCAGCGGGATTCGAACGCGCAACCGCTGGCACTGCAAGTAGGGTTACTACACACTGAGCCAAACGTGTCGCCAAATTGCTATAGCGATTACATTGCACATTAATTGTATTCATTTTTAATTATTAAACGATAAATTAATTTAATTTTATAGCATTTAATACAAATAGCTTTTTAATATATATATTGACAATAATTCATTACTGGTTTTTGTAACCTTGTCTATTCGCCTTGCTTTGTTTACTTGGGAATCATAAAAAATACTATACTATGTATATACTCAGTTAAATTAACGATATGTAGTATAGATCCTCTCTGGTTATATTTTACAGTTTAACACGGTGCTATATAGAATACGGGTTAAAAGACAAAGACATAAATATTGATAGGATTAAAACTTATCTTAAACAATAAAGTATACATCAATGAACGAAGCACAGGCAGGCAATACAAAAGGTAAAAGTTTGAACGCAAGGTGACTTACAAACTAGTACATTATCCACAATAGAGTAACAATTTCACTTCCTGAATATGAGAGCAAGCGATACGCCCGCTAATACATACATGTGTACATATAGGATCAATATGCTCAAAGAAAATTTTCATAGCTGTGTACAAAGGTTTATTTATTATTTTCTACGAGGTGAACTATTAAAAAGAAATGGTTATGGAAATAATAATATACACACAAATTTAAAAAAAAACTTACAGTAATAAAGCCTCAGTTATTGTTTAATTATACAAGAAGTATAATATATCTACATATAGATAAATGCTACAAGACTTTCGTAATGATTTACCTTACAAGTGAGATTTCAAATGAAAATTAAAGTTTATTGCAAAAATCTAGTAAAGCACACAAACAAACAAACACACCTTTACATTTATAATATTAAGTATAATATTAGTATATGTGTCAAATATTCGCGTAAATCTAAGAAAATACTACTTTGTGCATTCATTCATAAGCCTCGATATGAAAATTCAAAAGGATTGGCCTCATTAAAAAAGCTTTTATAAGCAAATAATTTATTATTAATCGGATTTCACCTATTAAAAATCGTTATTGGATGTTAATCTTGTTTCATATTCGTACAATAATTATTGTGTAATTTAATGAATTTCATTGTTCTTTTGTTGTAAATAATTGCACTCGTATGCATGATATTGAAATGTTTCTATACACTTTTATTTTAGGCGGCTTTGAATAAAAGGTGAATGAGGTCGATTTGACTTTGTAATTAGTCTTGAATATTTTTGGAATCATTCATTGATTTGGATGCCTATTTTTGTTTGTTTTATATAGAAGTAGTTGCAACATGGACGTGTCCAAGTCCATTTCCATTTTTTTTACATTTTAGTGCCTGGAAAAAACAGGCGTTTTTTTTAAGTTTTTATTTTCGAAATACGATGTACATTGTACACTTTTAGGATGTACCAAAACATTTAAATATAACAAATTTTCCCATAAATTATGAAATAATGAATAAAGTATTATTATTTATTGCTAATTTTAAAGATACATATTTTAATGCATATTTGCAATTAACTCTCATAGTTCGTGTCGTACCGCAATATCCTCAGGTGCATAAAATATCTAGCAAGAAAATGTAATAAAGATTCGAAATGAAATGTGTAGAGTAATCTAATAACTCCGTACAGCTAATTACAGAGCTGTCCTTACTCTTTTGAAGCGCTTAGGGAACTGAATTACCGATTTATCTGGATAATTGTATGGGAATATTCCGTATCATGCAAACATATACATATACACATGATTTTATGTCATATGTCAATATTTTATTCCTGATTAGCTTTTGGTTGAATCTTCGGTAGTTAGTTTTTAACATTGAGAATGTTTTTTTTCTCGCTTCGGTATAGGCCTGATTTTCAGCGAAAGTGCGACATCGTCCTGGTGTCATGGGTTTGAAGACTACGTAGCTGACGGGGATTTCAAAAGACGCGTCATAACTAGGGATTTTATATGCAAAAATTTTTTTTGAAAGATCTTAAAAACTTTTTTTTTACCACTTACTGTGTATTTCACATTAAGAATGACAGAAATTCTTACAATCTTTAATCCCCTATTTTACCTACTTAGGGGATGAATTTTGAAAAATTCTTTCTTATCAGATGCCTACATCATTTAAGGAATATGCTCTCCAAATTTCACGTTTCTATGACCAGCGGCTTAGGCAGTGTGTTGATCCATCTGTCAGTCAGGACCGCAGGTCTCCTTCTCAGTGCTTCCTCCATCTGGTTTAACTTCTAGTCCCATACACAGGTAAGATACGAAAACAATAGAAGCAAAAAACCAGGTGTAAAAAAGACATCACAATAAATTGCTTAACCTCAGACTGATTGTAAATAGGCAATCGTGTGGCGCTCTCCTTTCGAGAAATCTTCCCCATTATAATTACGTTCCTATAATAACTTTTATAGTGTTAGCAAAACCAGACATATTCTCTTTTACAAGCTTTTATTTAGTTACACCTGTCCCGGTCTACATAATGGAATATTGCAAATTAAATTTGACCTAATTCCCTGTGTCTGATTTTCTGAATTTGGTACCCTAGTTTTGTTCCCAATACAATGCAGGATTATTAATTAATCTCGTCATTTTAATCTAATATGGCGCAAGTTACAAAATGGCGATTTATCATTTTCTTATTGGCCCTTATGATATGGGCATCAAATGAAAGGGCTTGATGGGCGAAACACAATAAGCAAAATGGCGTCATTTTAAATCTAATATGTTGGACGTCGCAAAATGGCGATTTATCATTACAAACTTTTATTTAGTTTCACCTATCCCGGTGTTTGTCTGTCTGTAATCAAATCCTGCAAGTTAAATTTGACTAAACGTCATTAAATCCAATATGGTGGACTCTTAAAGATGTTTTTAAGTACCCCCATGATACGGATATCAAATAAAAGGATTTGCTGAGAAGAATAAAATAAAAACTAAAAAATCTAGAAATCTTTACTAACCCTTAAATCGTAGCGTAACGTAGCGGAGCGAGGGTGAGTCACTAGTATCATATAAATTGTGTCATGTAATAAATTGTTGGGCTTAATTTAAAGTTTATTTTCTTCTTTCTAGGGCATTTAAATAAAAGCTTGTTTTCAAAAATGATTTTTACTACGAGTATTAATTTATTCAGTCATAAATATTGTATGCGAGTTGTATTATTGTGCTCTCTTCCTGTAACTTTGGATAATGTGCAAAAACTAGAGGTAGTGGAGCTTGCTAAATACTTTACATGAAAATTAATTTACAGAATATACGTTATTAAACTTAAAAAAACTTTTAAAAGCGAAAATGTTTCCATAATGAAGTTTTCTTCTTTCCTGTTCCTTGTCCAAATCATAAGTGGTCGCGATCCTCATCAGTGACGGAACGAGGAAGAAGAATAAACGTTAAATACCTTTTCAGATACTGGATTGTTATATTGAATTACAATCACTTATCTTTAAGAAATAATATGAAACGTGAACTTATTTTTGCAAATAACAAAATATGTATTGCGAAAACGTAATAAAATATATGTGTTTTAGTGTGTAAATATGTTAGTAAAAACAACACAATATTCGGTGTTAAGGAACCCTCGATGCGCGAGTCAAAATCATACATTTGAAAGTCATTACAGCCATCACATTATTGCTTATAAGATAAAGCCAAAGTTTTTTTTTGTAGTTTTAAGGTGAGCGAATATTCAATAGTAAATTGTTTGAAAATTCGTTATAAAGCATAACTTAAACCTAACCAGATACAGACCACTCAACCGAGGGATTGCTGACAGAGATGTACCAGGAGCAACCCATATGGTACACCGCCCACCAAAGTAGGCCACCTTTAAAATAAAAACATCAGTTCCAAAAATTTTTTTTTAATAATATCAACCTCAACAGCGTGCTACAGCGAGCTACTTAATGTCTAGGGAGAATTCCCCAACAAAACAATATAAACCTTATAAAGCGTTAAGAAATATCTTTTTTTTTTCGTTTACAGTTAATGTTTTGTATTTTAATACCACCATCCCCCTCCCCCCTTAGCGTGTGACGTAATTTATGGATGGCCCCTTATCCGCATGAAGAACATTTGACGTAGTGGAATTTTCACCTTTCATACTATACTCGTAGTAGGATAGTATGGAACACACAAAGCTCGAACATCCCTAAATCTTAAAGACGTATCAGAAATATATATTTGAATACATGGATGATGAATGACCTCCACATGCAATATTATTCAAGACAATGTCTTAAACTAATTGATTAGGATGTTAAAATGTATGTAGAAGATATTAACTAATCTTTTTGTGTAAGTTTTTGTGCTAATTTACGTGTATATATAAATGCGTCAAGTGTATTTTAGATTACTTTGGTACGATACAAGACTACAAAATGTTCACAGTATGCGCACTAGTGCTTACATTTTCCTTGTTTATTTCTTGTGAGGCTGGCTTCGGTGAGCAATTTTGACCTATTCTTATATATTATTTTTTGAAATTTATGTATCTAGATTTTTATTATAATGATGATTTTAAATCAAATCATCTTTTGGATTTTTCGGAAGTCTCTCCCGTGACCATTGCTGTAAAGCATTGGAAACGTCGAGAACCAAAAATCAAAATAAATCCGTAAAAAATACCGAAAAGATAGTTTTATTTACTACTAGCATTGCCCGTGGCTCCGCCCGCGTTCAGATCGCGAAAAACCAAATTCTTAGGTTTTACATATTAGTATACTCTTACAATGCACTTTTTGTATTTTTTCTCAGAAATGAGATATTTTCCCGCGGTAAAAAGTATTCCATATGTTGACCCGGATAACCATCTATCATCATACCAAATTTCATCAAAATCTGTCTAGTGGTTTTTCTCGTGATGCGGTAACAAACAGATAGACAAAAATTCTAAAAACTATAGATTCGGACTCTGTATCGATAATAATGTATGTCTATTTCAATTAGATTTTCCAAAAAATATTTAATGTACAGATTCGACTTAGTTAAAATCTACACATAATATAAAATTGTAACTAAGCCGAATCTATACATTAAATATTTTTTGGAAAATCTTATTGCAATAAACATTAAACATTATTATCGATATAGAGGCCGAACCTATAGTTTTTAGAATTTTTATCTGTCTGTCTGTCTGTCTGTTACCCCATCACAGAAAAACCACTGGAGGGATTTTGATGAAATTTGGTATGGTGATAGCTGGTTATCCGGGTCAACATATAGGATACTTTTTATAGCGGGAAAATATCTCATTTCTGAGAAAAAACACAAAAACTGGTTAGAATAAAACCACGATGATACTTTATCTTATATTTTAGCAAGGTAACTTACTAAATAAGGCAAAAACAATTACAAATAGCTTATCTTGAGAAAAAAATTAAAGCGCTATTTTATTTGGTTTTTGGTCATCAGAAGGCGGGTGGAGCCGCGGGCAATGCTAGTTTTATTTTATGTATAGATGTAAAATATTCGCATAAATCTAAGAAAGTAAAGTTATGATTTATTGATCTCTCAAATCATATTTAATATTATCACAAGATTTTACTTATTACAAAACATTTAATATCCAGTTATTTTGTTATGATTGCCATAAACTCGTTTTGGATTAGTGCAATGAAGTTAATGGAACCGATCCCAGATTAATATAAGTATGTTTCAAGATATAATAATGACATTTGGCCTACCTCATTTTAAATCAATAAACAATGGAGGGAGTGTAGCCGCAGGAACTCTACCTCTTTAATGATAGAGATTTTTGGAAAATCTTTATAGTATTGGAACTGTACTGTGTATTAGTAATGATGGTTTGTGTGATTTGCTGGCATGTAAATAATTTAATTCAATAACATTAAGAGTATATATAATGATGATTTCCTATTTTTACCCCACTGCGTGACGCACAGGAGGGTAATTGTGTTTAACAGTCTATGTATGTATATTTGTTCCTACTTGACATTCTAGAGACCAAACGCGTAGGCCAATTTCGATGATTCATACGTCGTTAGATTCGTCTTGGTAACGCGAGTGTTATCCATACTTATATTAAAAATAATTTAAAAATGATTACAGTGGACACCATCTCAAAATGCAGCATAGAAAATGAAGAATGTTTAAAAGAACTATTTCAAAATATAGTAAAAATTTTAAGTACTGGGGATGCAGAATATGAAATCCCTGCACTAAACACTTTGAATGTAAATAATTTATCGGTAAATATCATGGAAGGTGTCTCTATCACTGTTACTGACGCATTAGCGAAGGGCATGGCAAACTGCGTATTTAATTCCTTCAAGTAAGTTCTATGTAAGCATTTTTACAAAAGTACTCATACTATTCTAAACAACAGTTAAATTTGTTTCTCATTTTTAATTATACATATCATGTCTTAATTGTTATCCTTAATTCATAATTATTTCAAGAAATAATATTGAGTTTTAACATTAAGTCATGTTTATTATCTATCAAGAAGTCGTTATTAATTCATCCAAACAGGAAACGCATTCAATTGAAAATATTAACGGCTAATGGTAAGAATGGTCATAATATTTGCCTATTATCATTTCATTGATCTGGTCAGTCGCACACTAATCGTTCACTAAGATCATACGAATGTTATTATGGGGCAGGTAGAGGGAAGGGATTTATAACCGTCGAAAATATTTATATAGATTATTGATGGTCTCCCTTTAACTCTTTCCACATAATACTCTGACATAAAAGAAATGTGTATATTATATTACTACGTTATATTTTTTTAGTGCCGATTGGGAAAAAGAAAGAGCTTTTTTGAATGTCACGTGTGATGCTTTATCTTTCAAAGGACAATTCGTAATCTCTGGTGAAAATCCAGATATACAACGTATTATTGGTAGCAATAATTTAAACGGTGAAGGTAGAGCCAAAGTAAAACTAGGTAAGTAGTATTTGTTTTTATTTTATTGAAGAAAATGTAAAAATTAAAATATTATATTAGTCTATACATATAATAAAACTGTAGAGGTCGAATGTCTGTACATAGAAAAAAATGCTGAAAACCGAGTCACCGAGGGATGTAAAAAGAGAGATAAACAGACAGAATTTTTCAATTCTGTCTGTTTATCTGTTTCTACGGGCTAATCTCTGAAACTGTTAGACCGATTTAAATTAATTTTTTTATGATGATACCTTATGTCCCCGGTCAACATTTTAGATACTTTTTATTCCGAAAAATTTAAGAGTTCTCATGGGATAGTTAAAAAACTATAGTGACTTATACAGCTTAGTACACAAAAACTGCTGATTGGATTTAAATGAAACCTTACAATAATAAAGTTCATGCATCAAAATACCAAATAGGATACTTTTTATCCCGGAATAATGTACGGTTCCCGTGGGATAGATTGGTTTAAGTAAAATTTATTTATTTATTTATTTATTGAACTACCAACAAAAGTTACAATATTATAATACTTAAACTTAGGTTACATATAATTTATCATGATAATTGCACTTTTAATTATAGGTTACAACTTGCTAACTTTAACAGGCTATCACATTAGTATTAATTAATAGTATAATAATAATTCCAATTTAATTTAAAAAAATAATAATTCATTAAAATTACAAATTAAAAAATATATAATTTTAAAACAAAAAAATCAATAATAACTAATTTAAACAATTAATATGTACCTATTATGTTTATATTTATAGCATAAAAATTAAAAATTGAGAAACAGCATGCAATCAATATATAACAATTTTTTAAAAGAAAGAAAGATTAATATTGAATTTGATCAAGATAGCAATTAATTTTTTTTTAAAGGCGTTAAATGTGTCATGCAAAATGTCTACCCCCCTATTTTCCGAAGTAATGCCATTATAGGTTCTAGCTATTCCGTTAAGTGGCGCATTTTTTCCTAGGTTCGTTTTATGTTTATTAATTCGAAAGAGGGCAATTTGCTTTCTAGAAGTTCTCACTGGTAAATTAAAATTTACTTTCGACAGTAGAGTCGGGCAATCGATTCTGTTATTTAGCAGCTTGGATAGAAACATTAGATCTAAAAGCTTTCTTCTTGCGTTTAGAGATAGCTGACGAATATGCTTTAGTTTGCTTTCATATCCTGTGCAGCAATTAGGAAACCTGAACCAATATGTTAAGAACTTCAAAAACTTTTTTGAATACGTTCAATTCTATCAACATGGACATTGTATTGAGGCGACCAAACAAAAGAACAATATTCCAATCTACTCCGGACAAAACAATTAAAAAGCAATAATACAGTTGTAATTTTATGGAATTCCTTTGCATGTCTGAGAACAAACCCTAATGACTTATAAGCTACTTTCGAGACATAATCTATATGTGAAGTAAATTGCAATTTTGAATCCAAGAACACCCCTAAGTCGCAGACAACATCCACTTGGGCTATAGTCACATTCGATATTTTATATTCATAATTTATCTTTTTCTTTTTACGTGTAAACTGGATGTAATGACATTTTTTTGCATTTAGATTCATTTTATTAGCCTTACACCATTTATATAGTTCATCTAAGTCATTTTGTAAATATATCGCGTCATCATAAGTTTGGATTTTTCGAATCATCTTTAGGTCATCGGCATACATATATATTTTTGAGTACTTGAAAATGTTTGTTATATTATCTATAAAGATATTAAACAATATAGGTCCCAAAATTGATCCCTGTGGTACACCTGAGTTAGCCGTAAATGAAACCGACTGAAATCCATCGATTACAACAGTAGACGATCTTAAGCGTAGATACGACTCACACCAGCATATTAAAGCATCGGTTACATTAAAAGACTTTAATCGTTCAATTAATACGTTATGGTTAACTTTGTCAAATGCCTTTGAGAAATCAGTGTAAATAGCGTCTATTTGATCTCCACCATCGATAACTTCTGTGATTTCACTAATATAAGATATAAGATTAGTGTTAGAAGATCTTCCTGACATAAAACCATGTTGATCCTGACTTAGAATTTGTCTTACCATACTAAGCAAATATTGATGCACTAGACTCTCAAAGACTTCTGACGCAGTTGACAAAATCGAGATAGGACGATAATTCTCTATAGATTCTGCATTCCCACCTTTTAATACTGGTACTATTCTTGCTTCCTTCCATTTAACCGGGAACACTCCTGTTCTCAGAGAAGTGCTATGCTATATAATAAAACAATACGTACGAACGAACGATGGATTAGCGTGATTTTTTGGAGATTTTGTGGAGATAGTTGAAAGGCTGGAGAAAGACATAGGCTATTTTAATATTTTTACTACTGGAAATTATCTCATTCCCATGGGAAAACACATTATAATATAACCCGAAAAAATGTATGATGAGAATTACTTCAAAATTGGTATTAATGCTATTCAATAAAATTAAAGAAATACATGTTTTAGCATTTTTCGAAATTCATCCCATAAGATGGTAAAACAGGGAACAAAAGTTTGTATAAAACCTATCTAATATCTATACCCACCTTAATTTTAAAATGTGAAATAAAACAATACGTATTTTTACTAGATTTATTCGAAATTAAAATTATAAAAGGTAATGTTTGAAAGTAAAAATTTATCAACCGACTTCAAAAAGGAGGAGGTTCTCAATTCGACTGTATTTTTTTTTTTTTTTTTTATGTTTGTTACCTCAGAACTTCGTCATTTATTAACCGATTTGGACAATTTTTGTTTTGTTTGAAAGGGTATACTTCCAGATTGGTCCCATTTAAATTTCAAAAAAAAAATACCACCCCTAAGGGTGGAAAAATAGCTAATGATGGATTTAACCTACTTCTAATTGTCATATTGACTTGAAACTTTGCAAGTGTTTCTATTTCTGTTGATAGTACAGTGGTTCGGTATTGTTGACCTGATCTGATGGTAAGGGCAGAAGGTGGATAGGTGGAACTCTTCAACGGCTAATAGTAGATACTTTGAGTTTGGGCTTATTTTGTTTGATTCGACAAGCCTAACACGTTAGAATTTTTATTTTGCTACTACTGTCTACACTAAAAAGGGAAAAATAAAAACTTTTTAACAAAAAAATAAAAACCGACTTCAAACAAAAGCACTAAAAAGTAAAAAATAACTGATTGGTAGTTTTCATTTACTATACATACCTAATCAAATATTTTCGAAGTCGGTGTGCTTTGGCTAAGTAATTAAAGCCACCTATTAAATACATACCTAATCAAATATTTTCGAAATCGGTGCCAGCCCATACAAAGCAAAGCACACCGACTTCGAAAATATTTGATTAGGTATGTATAGTAAATGAAAACAACCAATCAGTTATTTTTTACTTTTTAGTGCTTTTGTTTGAAGTCGGTTTTTATTTTTTTGTTAATTTTATAATCAGAATTACTGGAAACTTAGTATTAATGATATTCAATTCAATTAAATAAACACGTGTTTTGACATTTTCGTAATTCATCCCGTAAGGGGATAAAAGTTGGTAAGAAAATCCGCTAATTTAATTGTTAAAATTAAGTATTCAAGATAAAAAATAAGCAATAAGTGTTATCAATTAGATTATTCGAAAATAATCCCCTGAAAGGATAAAAATATTATAAAAGTCGAGTTGACTTAAAAATCAGCATTAATGCTACTTTTATTTAACGAAATAGTTAAATACCTACTAAAAAAAGCTTTTTTTAAATTAAAATTGTACAAGTAATCAGAAGATTACATTAGCTGTGGCCTCATCTGGAAATCCTAGTGCATTATTAGGTGGTAAATCGGCTTTCGCTACGTTTAAACTCCCGCTCAATCTCACCCGAGCTGAATTCCACATACGAAATATATTTAAATAGTGTAACATAGCTCAAGTTCTCCGAAAGTGCTCACTTACTGAGTGAGATATAAAATAGAGAACGAAGATTATTCGAATCCAAGGGGACATTATGGACAAATTCTTGGCTGGCCACAGCCACTGCTGTGGCCGTCTGGCCTCCGTGTCACTACACAGTAATGTAATGCATACAGTATTACAACTCAGGCCTGTCCTTGAAATAATTACCTACAGCCGAACGGCACACACCCACACGACAGGGCTGCCCGCCTTCCAGTACTTTAATTTCCTCTACCTACTTGAGTTTCTTTCTAATTTTGTGATTTCTAATTTTATATTTTTTATTTAAAAACAATTATTAGTAGATTTAATTAAAAAATCTCAAATTTATAAGGGTGCTATGTTACCCTTATAAATTTGAGATTTAAAAGTATTTGCGCCTCGACTGAGACGTACGAAAAGCTTTATTGTTAAATTTAATAGTGTAAAGAATCCGCATTCTGATAAAAAGTTTAATTTTTATTTTTAATTTAATTAATTAATTTTTATTTTTAAAACATACAATGTCTCGATACTTTTTTGTTTGACATTAGCGAAGTTACGGAAGGAATAAAATGTTTATTTTTGTATCAATTTATAAAAGTTACATAACATAACCACCTTATACAATTTTCGTATCCAATTATATGATCTGGCAGCCCCGGACGGTTGTCTACCGAGTGTATACTGAACGCGACGCGCGTAGGTATAACTCGATTTCCGACCGTTTGTAGGGATACAAAGGAAGTGTTGGCTTGGTTTTGTGAACATGCTACACTAAGCCCCAAAACCAACAGAGCTACTGTTTTTAATAAAATCCTGCTTAAGTCCTTTGAAGGGTCAGAAATAGAATATAGATCTGTCGATTCAGCTAGTTCCCTAACAGTATTAACCCACCAGGCCTCCTTTCCTGTTTTCTCATAAACTCCTTCTGAGGGTTGGCACACCTATAATGAATGAGCCACATAAGCTATATAACGGGACTGAATTGCGAGTTATCCATAAAACATTATAGGGGCCACTGTATTTGCTGGATGTGCTCGGAGTCGGGGAGAATCAGTATTATCATACCTCGAATACCACTGATATCCTCTGACTACGCTTTTGAACTTAACATATTATCGTAGTTGCTCCTCAAAGTTTGCCATGCAATGATAATTAATAAATCTCAGGACCAGTTGTTACAAGTAGCAAGCATAGATTAAAGATTGCTTATCCTTTGGTATTTTTGCAGAACGCAGAACCAAACATAATATCCGCCAATGTAGTATACAAAGAAGTTCTGACTTAAGTACTAACTTCCTGTTCGCAATTTATAAGCGTAGACTAAGTTAAGTGAATCTATAGTGATTACATAAATTCATTTCATTTAATTCGTAATAACAAAAATGGATACAAATATACTCGTTAATCTAATAACAATTATTGTATAACAAAAGATGGGCAATGGAGTGCTGAGACGCACGCACTAGAATATCCTGTGTCGCGTATGTCTAACCTTCCACAGTACCCTCTTATCTTATTTAAGACTATAGCTTAAGGTGACTTCATATTTCGCTTTGGCAACACTTATAATTCGATTTGGCAACATATAAATTTAATGGAAATTAAAACAGAGCAATTTTTTACTCCATACGAGTAAAGCCGCGGACAGAAAGCTATAAAAAAAGAAACGTACTTTATATTTTATGTAACCGATGACTTAACTTAAAAAAGAGGGAGACTGTAAGGCTTAGGTTTATACATAGGGTCTTTAAAAATAACGTAGATGTTAGCCTGTTACTTCAAAAGGCCATATTATCCGATTATTACATGATTCTAAAGTCGTAAACATTGTATACGACTTATATAATTTTACTCTCTTCCTCTAACTTTGGAAAGATGGAGTAGAAAAATATGCCAAAAATGGAGATAGGGGAGTTTGCTATTTTAAATGAAAATTAATGTAAAGAATCTAAGTGAAATATCTTTTAAAATACTGAATATTTTGAGTTACTATCACTTAAATTTGTTTTCCATATTATATTTAAGAAACAAGTACTTATTTTTGCAAGTAATAAAGTATCATGTATTATGAAACCGTAAAAAAAATATATTTTAATAAGTGAACAATAAAGTGTAAGATATTAGCAAAAACAATACAATAAACAAAAACAAACCTATACCACGGGAACCGTACATTTTTTCAGGATGAAAAGTATCTAAAATGTTGACCTGAGATATAAAATACCACCATGCAAAATTTCATTTAAATCAGTCCAACAGTTTCAGAGATTAGCCCGTACAAACAGACAAACAGACAGAGAAAAAAAAATTAAAAAAGAGCTGGATTTGTTCTATTTCTCTTCTTACATCCCCCTGACTCGGATTTTAGCATTTTATTTCTATGTACAGACATTCAACCTCTACAGTTTTATTATAGTATGTGACATAAAGCCAAAAAGTTTGTTGTTTAGTACTTTGAACGCAGACAAAGCTGCAAGTACTGATAGTTACTAAATAAATTTTTTCGAACTTGTCGAAAAAAGAACTAATTATTTTCTTTCATACAATAATATGTGAAAGCTGTATATTAAAAATATTACCAGCGTTAAACAAAATATTAGAAATTAATTTAATAATCTCTTTTATTGTAACAATGTGATGCACAGTGAACACTAAACAGTATGGCTTCGCTAAAGGTAAATCGATAACACGATACGGGTGCTGTATTTTTTAGGCACATCTACGATGCATGGGAGAAATCTCAGAATACTATTGATCTATTCTGTAATAGCTTTGTCTGTAATAGCTTTTTTAAAGCCATTGATTGTGTAGATCAACACTTTTGCTTGAACTAAATCATTATGGAATTCAGGGTGCGCGCGAGTGCGCTTGATCTTGTTGCTTCGTACCACAATCAGATAATTCAGAGGGTTGATATAAATAATGTAAAATCTTCTGGATCTCCTTTAAAAATGAGTGTTCCACAAGGCTGTTTATTCTTGGTCCTTTTTTATTCCTAATATATATTAGTGATTTACATTCTTAAGTAAAGATACTATATGATATTGTACTATTTCTGATGATAACTCCTTAACTTTTAAAGAAGAGCGTAGTAAACCTAATCATGACGAAGTAAACAGTGCATTGTTGCATATACTTCACTGGCTTGAATTAAATAAGTATTATTTAATACTAATTATTATTAATACTAATTATTATTAATACTAATTTTAGTATTAAATGCAAAAAAACAAACAAAATGTGTCAAATTTACATTACCTAACATTAAAAAGGAGAATTTTAATCTGACTTGGAATAATGAAACACTGGAACTTACTGAATCAGCAGTATTTTAGACATATCACTAGACTCTAAGATTCATTAGAACCATCATTTCTCAACACTTGTAGGTAAACTTAGTTCCGCCGTCTATGCAGTTAGAAAATTAAAAAGCTAACGGATATTAACACTGCCCCACTTGTGTATTTTAGTTATTTCATAGTATTTTATCTTACGAAATACTTCTTTGGGGCAAGCCGCGGAAATTAATGCTATATTTATTCTTCAAAAAAGAGCAGTATGGGCTATTTATGACCTAAGAGATCGTGATTCCCTGCGAAATGTATTTAAAAAATTGGTACTGGTACGGTTGTGTATGTATGTGTATGTTTATTGCACAGTATATATTAATTTATTTAAAAAACAGTGATAAACATATAATAAACTCAAAGAATAGAAAAAAGCTTGTTACGCCCAGATTTCGACTCCAAAAGTCCTTCATACGGGTATACGCATATATAATAAGATTACACAAAATTTCATAGATTTATCTTTTCAAAAATTTAAAGATAAAATTAAAAATATTTTATTGAATAAAGCATATAATATATTACTCTGTTCAAGAATTTCTTTTTGATGGAAATGTGTGTGGAATTGAGAAATATTGATTCGTATGCGGGCTATCTTATTCTTATTATGTAAAATAAACAAATGTAACTTCGATATTTAAAAGAGCAACTGTTGAGTTTCTCGCCGGTTCTTCTTAGCAGAACTGCTTTCCGAGCAGATGGTAGCTTCCTAACGGACTGACAACACTGACGATTAAATTAAATTGACTATTCAAAAGTCCATGTAATAAGTCTAATTGAATGAAATTTATTTTAATTCATTGATTTCATTTCATTTTACCTCTTGGGATTAAATAAAACTAAAAAAATATCGAGTGTGATATATTTTTTTGCTTGCAATATTTCTTGTACAAAAAGGGAGTAACGAATCTCGTACGAGTATATACATAATGTTCTTTTGTTATTTACAGATAACACGAATTTTAACATCGAATACCCAATGTATATGACAAAGAAAGATGGCGAGATTTACATCATGATTTCTAACAAAAATATGAAATACACACATGACATTGGAAAAGCGCATTTTAAAATTGAAAATGTCATCATTGGTAACAGTGACTTAAGTAAGTAAAATTAGTATTTTAAAAGAATTTTACTAGATTGTAAGTATTTCTAGAATATTAACAGCGGATGCATATCTACTATAATAAAACTGTCGAATGTCTGTACATAGAAAAAAAAGCTAAAAACCGAGTCAGGGCCCTATAAGAAGAGACATAGAATAAATCCAGATTTTTTCATTTTTTTTACTTCTGTCTGTTTTCTGTTTGTACGGGCTAATCTCCGAAACTATTGAACCGATTTAATTAATATTAATTTATTTCTTTCTATCCAATTTTTTCTCTTTTCCTAGGATAAAATGCACCATGCCCTGAAATCTAAATCTATGCAAAAATGATTAGTAACAAAATTGTATAAGATTTTATTTCTTTTGTTGGTGCGAAATAAAACATCATAATATAATGTTTAAAAAATCCGTGATCAAATCCTCCTAAAATGGACATATGTAGTCGACTTGACATAGTCGCGGTAATATTAAATGCTACACAACAATAATTTTATATCTTAAATAAAACTATCTTCTCGGATTTTTCACGGATTTATTTTGATTTTTCGTTTTCAATGTTTTGAATGTTCTACATCAATCATGGTCACGGAAAAAACTCAGGTTTTAGACATCTCAAAGGTTAAAATGATATAATTGTTACAGACAGTGCCTACCAACGATATATTTTTATAGTCACATATTATTAATTAATAGTAATTTACAGGCCAAATCATATCAACCTACATGAATGAAAACTCGAAGGGAATTATGGAGCAATTCGGACCTGCAATAATACACAAACTACTGGAGTTGTACATAGATCGTATAGGGAATATCTATGAAAAAATTCCAGCCAACAAATATATTATTGAAGATCTTCATTCTTACCTCAAAAATTAAGTTGACTCTGACACAATACCTTTATGTAATAAGTGTGAATAAGAACATGTTTATTACAATAAAAAAATGGTAGTAAATGTTTACTTAAGTTTTTTATTACAGTATTTCCTAGGAACTACCTGTAAATGCCTTACAAAAGTGAATGCTACATAAAAATAGATAAAAATAGAATGCTTTTTTTACTGTAACGTATCGACTAACGTTTAAAAATGTAGTATGTTTAATAATTTCTTAGATTTACGCGAATACTTGACAACTTACTACATTTTAAATAAAACTATCTTTTCGGACTTGTTCGTGAATTTATTTTGATTTTTGGTTCCCGACGATTCGAATGCTTTACAGCAATAATGGTCACGGGAGAAACTGAGGTGTTAGATGTCTCAAAGGTATTATATAGTTGTTACAGACAGCATACCCACAAATAACAAAAAAAATTAAAAATTGAAAAATGGCACCAAAGTACCTTACAATATTTTTTAACTTTAAACATTTTTATAATTTTAAATAGTTTTATAATTGAATATGGAATATTATTTATTTAATTTGAGCTGTTATAATTATAATTATTACAATTTTAAAAATATTCATTAGTAATCTATATTTAGTGTTGCCATTATTATATTTATAACCATAAAGAAAAAATAATAAAATATTAATTATTTAAGCCACATAATTGATATATGTGTAATTTGAAAAAGTTAAAATGAATTAAAAACAATAAGTTTGATTTAATTTGCTATTATTTAAAAAACAAATTATTAAGCAACACATTACTACATACATTTACAAATGAAAAAATGAAAAAAAGTAAAAATGTGAAAAATGACATGAAGATGGGCATCAAATGAAAGCGTTTGCTGAGAAGAATACGAATAAAATAAAAACAAATAAATTGAAAATCGAGATTTAACAGTGTAGATAAACAAGAATTTATAATATTTAAAACAGGGTTAGGTAGAGCCCCCCCAACGTGCGTTCACCTTGTCGTGGTGGGGGGGCTCAGTAGTGTACTCGCGAAGCCAAGAAACGCACAGGGAGGTGGCCCGCTTCGGTGGGCGGTGGGAAGCGGCCTTCTTCGGAGGGCGGTGTACCATGCGGGTTGCTCCTGGTACTTCTCTGATAGCAGAGTGGACCGTGGAGCAACCCCATGGTTGTTGTGGTCTGCTTCGGCAGACCTGCCGTCGGGGCGTCGTAGTTGAATGCGTAAGCGATCCTGTGACGCCCCATCAAGACGGGGGAAGGTTTTGTTGGGTTTTAGTGGGTAGTACTGGCTTCGCCGGTGAGTCCCACACTTCGTGCGTAAATGCATTTCCCAACGTTAAAAAAAAAAGGGGTAGGTAAGAGGGTTTGATTTAATTTAAAGTTTATTTTCTAGCCCCTCAACCATTTATCCTCTCATCTTGGAAAACTTTGAATTAGAGGTAAATTTTTAATGTTAAAATATTTTTTTAATGATCAATGCTCTTACTGTCCACTCTAATATTAGAGAAGCATCAGGAGTAACTCACATGGTACATCGCCCATCAAAGTGGGCCGGCGACCTTCCAGTGTGTCTCTTGGCTTCTTGTATGGAAGATGGTGGAAAAAAGGATCGGCAACACTTGCAGAAAAAAAAATCAATGCACTTACGTGTATCCTCTCTAGTTTTTCTTTGCACTGATTTTTAAGTGCGTCTGTACGTAGATCCGGATAACTCAACGAAACACTTGAAAGTGTAAGCAGGTGGATGGAGTCACCTGGAGCCGATTCTTGGTTCTAGACGTTTCGCAACTGCTTTTAATTATCCTACTGCGCCAATTACGTTAATGACAGAGACAGGAGGACTAGAAAAACCAAAGTTTTTAATGTACTACCTACCAAACTTTAATTAAAATTACTCAAAATATAAAAAATACGTCTTAATTAATTAATTAACTTAATACTATCAAACGGAATATATAAGATTTTAAAATATTGATGCAGTCTTAATTTGGAGGTCGTGGATGACGTCAGTGGTTATCTTCTAGGCAACGTATGTAACACGCTGCAGAAATATATATTTGAATACATGGATAATGACCTTCACATGCAATATTATTCAAAACAATGCATTAAACTAATTGATAAAGATGTTAAAATTCAGATGGATGGACTATATCAATAGGTGGGATTTTTACAGAAGAGACGTGATGCAGTTTAAAGGTCGGTGTTTTATATTTTATATTATGCCATCATTATTATAACTCTAAAATCTGTAGATTTCATCTCGAGTTTTTTTTTCAAAAGAATCAGATCATTTTTGGTCTTACTGCTATACCAAAAATACTCATTCTAATGATACTTCATTCCATCAATACCATTAATACGAGTATAGTAAAGAGGTAAAGTTTGTTTCTACTGATCCGATTTAGATGAAATTTGGTAAGAAGACAGTTTGAGACTCTGGAAAGGACATAGGATACTTTTTATCCTGGAAATCATTCCTTAAGGGGGTGAAAATGGGGATGAAAATTTGTATGGGGAATAAACCTAGGGACGAACCCGAGCGAGCGAGGGTGAGTCGCTAGTATTATATAAAACTCAAATAGTAACATTGTAATTAAGCAGTAAAGCATTTAATTATTAATTTATGTTAATGAGTCCTTTTTCAAATACAACATTTGTATGGTCAAAACAATCCTGAGATTTTTTCAATAAAGTATGATTATATTAACTGTTTTTTTGAGTAGGTTTTTGTGCTATTTTACGTATATATATAAATGCGTCAAATATATTTTAGATTACTTTGGTACGATACAAGACTACAAAATGTTCACAGTATGCGCACTAGTGCTTACATTTTCCTTGTTTATTTCTTGTGAGGCTGGCTTCGGTGAGCAATTTTTATCTATTATATCTTATATATTTAAACGAGCTATTCTTGTATATATATATATATATATATATATATATATATATATATATATATATATCTCAATATATAATCTGAATCTCGAAAACGGCTCCAACGATTTTCATGAAATTTAGTATACAAAGGGTTTCGGGGGCGATAAATCGATCTAGATTAGTCTTATGTCTGGAAAAACGCGTGTTTTCGAATTTTCATGCGGTTTTCTTTTGCATTTTCACAATTTTTGCATTGTCAGTTGTCACTTCTGGTGGGTGGGAGGCGCCACTGTACAACTGTCAATATCGTGTCCGTATTTACATCAAGTTTAAAAATATTTAAGTGGAAATAATCTAAAGAAAATGATAAATTCTAATTAGTTTAATAATAATTTTAAGAAATATTAATCTATAAACATCACCAAGTCTTGATGTGTTGAAGAACAAATGAGCTTTTAAAAATTCACCTACCAAACAAATACAAAAGTGAGAAACATAACATACAGATACTATTAGTGCAAAACCATCTTTTCTGTGTGTGATGACAATAAAACAAAATAATTTGTGAAGTGAAAGCGTAAAATATTAAAACATAAGTTTATAACCTCAAAAACTAATACTCTGTATAAAATTGCAATTCAACTAGGTATAATTGGTGCTCTTTTTCAATCAGCTTTTCTACTTCCGACTTAACACTTAAGATGGAGGAGATAAAAAAGTTGCTAATAAACATACAACAAGAAACAAGACAGCAGAAAACAGAAATGTTAGAAATGAAAGAAGACATTAAAAATACAATCAACAATAATATACTTAAATGAGAAATTTAAACACTTAGAAATAAAAAATTCCTCAATAAATAATTTAGAAAGACATATTAGGCGCAAGAACTTGGTTTGTTCGGGGTAGAAAAAGGTGAAAAATCCTATCATGAACTAGAGGATAAAATAAAGTCTTAAACAAACGCAAGGAGTTACAAGCCCAACTGAAGATAAAGAAAAAGACCTAGGCAAAACAGCTTTCATTAAATATGACAAACTAATTATTGTGGATAATAATAAGAACACTTCCCGCCAATACTCAAATAAAAGAAGTCTGCCTGTATCTTCAGAAACGCCTTACCTCAATTATAAACAAAAACTAACAAATAAACAACATACAAAGAAAACCAAACCTGCTAATATTAAAGACTTTATATTACAAAAACCAAAATTAACTTTCAACCACACAAATGATAACCAGGAAGAACTAAAAACAACACAGCAAGATACAGTATATTAAACACAGTAGGAACCTCCTCATTTTTATCCCCCAGTACGGCCGGTCACTGTGGGGGAGTTCGACTGTAACCCTCTAAAGAAAGACAGACATACAAAGAACAAAGGTAATACATATCTTCACCAGAAAAACTTCTAGAATTAAAAGCAGCATTTCCTACAACAAATCAAAAGAATACAAAGATAAAATTATAAACTTTATAGGCATATCAGAAACAAATTATAGTATATTGGAAACAAAATTTGAAAAGAAACCCTTTGCAATCATACAAGCATAATCTCCAACGGAGAGCAGGACTACTTTGGAGGAGGCTTTTAACCGAGAGGGGTCTATACATGAAAAAGACATTTACTAAATAAATACATTTAATAATGCAATTAAATACCTAATTTATAACTATTGTCAGAATTAATGTATGGAAAGAAATTTTATTTATATGTATTATTGTGAAATGTTTAGTATTTACTCAATTGAATTATTTAATTTACTGTCATTGTTTATTTATTTGTTAATGATAATTTATATATATACAATATAATTTCAAATAATATTAAAGATTTTTAAAATAATTTAATTCCAGATTATAAAATTATTAGTTAAAAAATTATAAGTTAATAAATAGTTACTAAATTATATAATTTTATATTTCAACAATGTGATATAGACATTTTTTCTGATAGTTTATTATATTCTTTATTGCACTTAAAATATGATACAGAAAAAAAATAACAAAGTAAACATAGTTCACAAAGGTGGACTTATCTCTAAAAGAGATCTCTTCCAGTCAACCCTGGTTGTGGAAGAAGATGTCAGCGGGCAATATAGTGCAAAAAAAAAAAACTAAATATATACTAGAAATAAAGGTAATAATAACCACTTATACATACATACATACATACATACATACATACATATATACATACATATATACAAAAATATATAATACTATACATATATAATACCTAATGTAAAGACTACTTATACATACAAACATATATACATATACATAGTTAATATATAAAATATTTATTTAAAAAGAAAGTGTATTTAAATATTTAGATTAGTTTTTTTTTCTTCTTTTATTTATTGTACAACTAAAATGGCTCCTTATATACTTTTAACCAAATAAAATTTTAATGGAATACTTTTATAAAAAGCTGTGCATACTTTTAAATTAAATTTATATACAGATAGGTAAAATTATAATGTTAAATAAATGTTTTTATGTAAATTTAGTTAGTAAGCCTTTATAATAAATAAATGAATAAATAAATAGAGCTTTATTATTATTATGATTCCTTTTGCATTATTTCAATAAATTAATAATTAATAATTCCACGCAAAATATTATGTTCGATAATTTCGCATGCTCAGATATAAGCATCATGTTCAAGCGGCCAATGCGCAAATTTGACAACCACAGGTGTCTGGGTTCGTATCCCGATCGGACACAAAGTTTTTAATTTTGTTTTTTTTTGTAGTTATTCAAATTCTTAGTTTTTTTTAACGTTTTTTTTTGGCCAAACACTCCGAGCAAGGCTCGGTCGCCCAGGTACTATATATATATATATATATTTATTTGAAATTTATATATATTTCAATATTTTAATTAAAATTATAATTTAAAATAAAAATATCTTTTAGGATTGTTTCGGAAGAGAGTCTCTCCCGTGATCAAAGCATTCGAAACGTCGGGAACCAAAAATCAAAATAAATCCGCGAAATAATCTAAAAAGATAGTTTTATTTAAAATTAGTTAAAAATTTATATAGATCATAGTACTAAAAGTAATTACATAATATGTTTTAACATAACTATCAAATTACAGTGGACAACCTCACAAAATGCAGCATAAAAGATACAGAATGTATGAAAGGAGTATTTCAATATATGATAAGAACTGCTGGGATTGATGGGATTAAAGAATTTGGAATCCCTGCACTAGATCCTATGAATGTAACTAATGTTTCTGTACATATCATGGAAGGCGTCTCTATCACTGCTACTCAAGCTTCAGCGAAGGGCATGACAAATTGCGTATTTAATTCCTTCAAGTAAGTTCTATGTAAGCATGTTATAAAACTTATCGTCAGTTCATGCATATACTCGTTAGTTAAATACTCATATTATTCTAAACAACAGTTTAATTTGTTTCTTATTCTTAATTATATTATAATGTATTTTAATTATTTTCCGTAATTCATTTTATTTCAAGAAATAAAATTGAGTTATAATATTAAGTTATCTATTAAGAAGTCGTTATTTATTCAAACAGGATACGCATTCGACCGAAAATATATAGTGCTTATGGTCATAATATTTTCCTATTATCATCTCATTGATCTAGTCGGTCGGTTAAGTCGCGCATACCAATTGTTCAATAAGAGCGTACTAATATTATTATGGGGTAGATAGAGGGAAGGGATTGTTCACTGTTGAAAATATTTATTTAGATTATTATTGATGGTTAAGAGGAGCTTTAAACTCTTTCCACATAAACACATAAAATATTGTGTATAATATGTTAATACGTTATATTCTTTTAGTGTCGATTGGGAAAAAGAAAGAGCTTTTTTGAATGTCACGTGTGATGCTTTATCTTTCAAAGGGCAATTCGTAGTCTCTGGTGAAAATTCAGATATACAACGTATTATTGGTAGCAATACTCTAAACGGTCAAGGTAGAGCCAAAGTAAAACTAGGTAAGTAATATATGTTATTATTTTATTAAAGAAAATGTAAAGATTAAGATATTATAATTATATTAATTACTAAATAAATCTTGTCGAACTTTAGTAAGAAAATGTTAAAATGTTACAGAAAAAATAACTTATTATTTTCTCACATACAACATTATTAATATTACTAGCATAAAGCAAAATATTTGAAAAAATAATTTTAAACCAATTAAATAATCTTTTTTATTGTAACAATGTAACAATTAAAAATAAAAATTTAATATAAAATCTACATTAACTTTACTTCTAGATCTCCTTTAAAATGATAGTTCCACGAGGCTTTTTATTCTTGGCCTTTTTTATTATTAATATATATTAATGATTTATATTCATAACGTAAAGAATTTATGTGAAATAATACTCTTTCTGATGATATCTCCTTGATTTTAAAGTAGAGCGTAGTAAACCTAACCATGATAAAGTAAACTGTGCAATATTGCATATAATTTGCTTGCTTGAATTAAATAACCTAGTATTAAATAAAAAAAATGTGTCGAATTTACGTTACCTAGCGATAAAAAGGAGAATTTTAGTCTGACTTTGAATAATGAAACACTGGAACTAACAGATTCAGCAGTATTTTTAAGCATAGCACTAGGCTCTAAGCTTCAGTAGAACCCCCATCTCTCAACACTTGCAGGTAAACTCAGTTCCGCCGCCTATGTAGTTAGGAAAGTTAAAAACTTTACGGATATTAACACTGTCCGACTTGTGTATTTATTTATTTTTATAGTATTTTATCTTAAGGAGTATTCATTGGGGTAGTGCCGCGAAAATTAATGATATATTTATTCTTCAAAAAAGAGCAGTACGGGCTATTTATGATCTAAGAACTCGTGATTTCGTGCGAGATGTTTTCAAAAAAAAAGGGTATTGCGTCACATATACTATTTAATATATTACTTGTTCGAAAAAAATAATTAATAATTTGACTGGTACGCGGGCTATATATATTGTTATTTAAAATAAACAAATGTAACTTAGATATATTTTAAAAGAGCAACTGTTGAGTTTCTCGTCGGTTCTTCTCAGCAGTACCGCTTTCCGAGCAGGGGGTGGATTCCTAACGGACTGACTACACTGACGCTTAAATTAAATTGACGATTTAAAAGTGTTTGTAATAAGTCTAATTGAATAAAGTTTATTTCATTTCATTATATCTTTTGAGATTAATAAAACTAAAAAAATACCGATTGTGATTTTTTCTTGTTTAAAATATTTCTTGTACAAAAGAGAGTAACGAATCTTTTCATACATATATTATATTACACGTATATACATAATTTTCTTTTGTAATTTACAGATAACACGAATTTGAACATCGAATACCCAATGTATATGAGAAAGAAAGATGGTGAGATTTACCTCATGATTTCTAACAAAAATATGAAATTTACATATGACATTGGAAAGGCGCATTTTATAACTGAAAATATCATCATTGGTAACACTGACTTAAGTAAGTAAAATTAGTATTTTAAAAGAATTTCACTAGATTTTATTTAATTTTACAATATTAACAGCTGATGGATAGTTTAATATATTTTTTAACTTATCCTCATCTCGCGGCTTCATCTTTCTATCCGAATTTTTTTTCTTAGGATAAAATGCATCATGCTCTTAAATGACATTTAAATTCATGCAAAAATCTCAAGTAACAAAATTGTATAAGCTTTTATTTATTTTTTGGTAGTAATAAAACATCATAATATAATGTTTAAAAATCCGTGATCAAATCGTCTTATAATGGACATCGACTAAATATGGTCGCCATAATATTATCTGCTAAACAACAATAATTTTATATCTTAAATAAAAGTATCTGCGCAAATTTTTTCGCGGATTTATTGTGATTTTTGGTTTCTGATGTTTCGAATATTTTGCATCAATAATGGTCACGGAAAAGATTAAAGTTTTAGACGTCTCATAGGTCCATTATATAGTTTTTACAGACAGTGTCAATAAATTTTTATATTAATTATAATTTACAGGTCAAATCGTATCATCCTATTTAAATGATAACTGGAGGACACTTATAAAGGAATTCGGACCTGTAGTAGCGGCCAAAGCACTGGAATTGTTCGTTGGTCTTATAGCGAATATAAGTGGTAAAATTCCAGCCAACAGATATATTATTGAAGACCTTCATTCTTACCTCAAAAATTAAGTTGACTCTAATCGCGATATCTTAGGTAATAAGTGTGAATAAGAATGTGTTTATTACAATAAAAAAATCTAATAAACGTTTACTTAAGCTTTTTATTACAGTATTTCCTAGGAACTACCTGTAAATGCCTTACAAAAGTGAATGCTACATAAAACAAGATAAAAATAGAGTGCTGTTTACTCTAACGAATCGAGTAACGTTTAAAAATGTATATGTATATTTGAAAAATATCCGAACAGTTTCTCTAAAAAGAAGAAAATAAAATAATTACTTATGTCAAGATTAAGTTATACATTGAATTCTTTTTTATCTGCACAGGTAAATGTCGCGACAAGCTTTTATACTATCATTGCCCGCGCTCCGCTCGCGTTTGGATTACCAAAAACCAAATTCTTAGGTTTTACATATTAGTATACTCTTACAATGCAGGTTTTGTATTTTTCTCAGAAATTAGATATTTTCCCGCGGTAAAAAGTATCCTATATGTTGATCCGGATAACCAGCTATCACCATACCAAATTTCATGAAAATCCCTCCAGTGGTTTTTCCGTGATGTGGTAACAGATAGACAGACAGACAGACAAAAAGACAAACGGACAAACAAAAATTCTAAATACTATAGATTCGGCCTCTATATCGATAATTATGTCTATTTCAATAAGATTTTCCAAAAAATATTTGATGTATAGATTCGGTTTAGTTACAATTTTATTATATGTATGTACATATGTAGATGAATTGTGTAATGTAATAAATTGATGAGCTTGATTCAATTTAAAGTTTATTTTCTTATTTTTAGATAATATTTAAATAAATCTATCTACCTAACTTTTTAGATAATATTTAAATAACTAATAGCTTGTTTTAAAAAAATGTTTTTTTTTTACAATTCATTACTTTAGATTAATAACAAATAATAGGAAACAAACAGTATGAGTTAATACGTCTATAAACTATCTTATTAACTTTGCAGATTTATGAGTAAATTAAGTATTGTAACCGAAAATTTATCTCAATTATAAATACTATATTCTAAATTCGATATAAATAATATGATTTTACATAATTAAAAACACGTCAAACCTATAGTTTAACCAATACAATATTTAGTCCATACCAGGCCACCAACAAATATACTCGTAAAGTAGCAGTAGGAATATTTTTCGTGCTAGAACCTGAAAAACAGTACTAACTTTTCTATAGAATATACATAGCACTCTACACAACTGCCTCGGTGGTGTAGTGGCTAGCATGTACGGCTGCACATCCGGAGGTCCTGGGTTCGAGTCCCGGGTCGGGCCAAGTTTAGTTACTGAGTCTTTCTTTATATTAAGCCTCAGTAAGAGTTCGGAGTTGGGAAGTTGGCGGTGTTTCACCCCCGTGCCTCGGAGAGCACGTAAAGCCGTCGGTCCTGCGCCTTAACTCTCACTGGTCGTGTTGAGTGGTTGTCCCACCAGAGTATGAGATATTCAAACTCACCTCAAATAAAAAAGATCATAAAACTTAAACATTTACATTGTAATTCACATAAGCGGTAAAACATTAAATTATTAATTTATGTTAACGAGTCCAATTTTAAACACTACATAATATGTATGGTAAAAACAATCCTTAGATTTTTTCAATAAAGGATTATTATATTAACCTATCTTTTAGTGTAGGTTTTTTTGCTATTTTACGTGTATATATAAATGCGTTAATTATATTTTAGATTACTTTGGTACGATACAAGAATACAGAATGTTCACAGTAAGCGCACTAGTGCTTACATTGTCCTTGTTTATTTCTTGTGAGGCTGGCTTCGGTAAGCAATTTTTATCTATTATTTTATATAAGTTTTTTGAAATTTATTATATATAAATTCTAATCAGTTATTTATAAATTTTCTGTTATTATATATCTGTAAAATACTAAATAAATCCGTGAAAAAATCCGAAAAGATAGTTTTATTTCAAATGTCAAATATTTGCGTGAGTAGAATGATAATTTATTGATCTCTCAAATCATATTTAATATTATCATAAGATTTTATGTATTAGGAAACATTTAATATCCTGTTATTTTGTTATGATTATCATGAAGCGTTTTTAATTAGTGTAATGAAGTTAATGGAATCGATCCCAGGTAGTAATGATAATTCCCCCCCAACGTGCGGGTAGTAATGATATTTTCCCTACCTCCTTTTAAATCATAAATATATAAGAGACTTTATTGTACACTACAAAGAAATATACAAAAGAGGAAATCAACAATAGACGATAATATTAATAATAATAAATGTGTTGGGAGATTAAAACATAACATCGTCTAGTTCTAGTTCAATGGTAAGCTACGAGGCTTGTGCTCTGGATACCAGAAAGTTGATACACTACACATAATTTTAAATACATACATATTCTAAATATAAACCCAAGCCTGGAGTACAAACATTCGTGCTCGTCGTACAAATGAATGTCCCCCGCGGGACTTGAACCCGCGACCGCTGGCACTGCAAGTAGGGTCACTACAAACTGAGCCAAACCGATGGTCAATGATGTACAACTGGCGGTCTTATCGCTATAAGTGATCTCTTCTAGGCAATCTTAGTGCGTAGGAGTAATTATATGAAATGGTAGGCGATGTACTTTCCATACACAAATACATATCCTAAATATAATCATGCATAAATAAATACATAGATACATATATACATACATACATGCATAAATACGTACAGTACATAGGTATAGATTGGATGAAAAAATAAAAGAAGTTTAATATATAAACACGCTTAAGAGATAAATAATATGATTCTAACAGTAGCTTAAAATTATCTAAACTTTTGGCACGCCTGATGTCTATTAGGGTATTCCATAAACGAGCAGCTTTTACTAGGGTTAACTAATTAGCTTTTAAGGAGTTGGTAAGGAAGTAAGAGGAGTGAAAAGCAATGTTAAGTAATAACGTTTCACTAGGCCGAGTGATACAGTATGAGTATCCCTCAGAAACTCAAAAAGCTCTATAAGGTAGAAAGGGGAAGAAGGGTAGAACGCAAGCAGTAGAGAAGATGAAGTACGTGTGTATTCCTCCGAAGCTTTTTGCGAATACAAAGATTTCGAAGCCTCAAGTCTTTTAGTTTAAGTGTTCCTCTTTAGTAAGTATCAGCGTAATCAAGAATTGGTAGAAGGTAGTTGATATGGGCCAAAAAATTTGCAACGTCCTAAAAGAGGAAACTCCTTCAAACATCTTTCAGCTCACTTCGCTTACCTGTGGTCCCCAGAATAAATATTGGTCAAAAATTAATACAAATCATTGTAATAGTTTTAACATAAATGTATTTAATTGCAGAGGACACCCTATCAAAATGCAGCATAGAAGATAAAATATGTATGAAAGGAGTATTTCAACATATAATCCAAATTGTTGGGAGTACTGGAGTTCAAGAATCAGGAATCCCTGCACTAGAGCCTCTGGTTATAGATAAGATGTCTCTAAATATCATCAAAGGCCTCGCTATCACTGTTGAAGGCTCAGTGAAAGGCATAACAAACTGCGTATTTAATTCCTTCAAGTAAGTTCTATGTACGAATTTTTACAACATTTATCGCCAGTGCATGCGAATAAGTTAATATTATTTTAGACAGTAGTTTAAATTATTCTCATTCTTAATTGTATTATTACATATCTTAATTTTTTTCCTTAATTCGTAAGTATTTCAAGAAATAAAACTTGATTTTTAACATTAAGTCATGTTTATTATCTATGAAAAAGTCGTAATTAATTCATCAAAAGCTGGTAAGAATGGTCATAATATTTTCCTATTATCCTCTGGGTATATCCGAAATTAATATACTTACAGATAATATCACACGCAATCTCATTGATCTATAATTATATCTATGACTATTAGATCCCGCGGCTTCGCCTGCGATCAAACAACGAAAAAAAATCTTTTTCGCAATACATACTTTATTATTTGCAAAAATAAGTTCATGTTTCATATTATTTCTTAAAGAATGGAAAACAAAATATTTAATTTTAGCGATCGTAATTCAAAATATCCAGAATTATTAAAGATGTTAAAGATACCTAATATTCTGTAATAAATCATTTTAGGTATTTAGAAAACTCCACTGCTTAATTTTTTTGCACATTTTTCTACTCCATCTTTCTAAAAGTATGAGTAAGAAAGTACAATGATACAACTCTCATACAAAGTTAACAACTAGAATCATGTAACTCGGCTTATATAACCTTTTTAACATATATACTAACAGCCTAACATGTACGTTATTTTTAAAGACATCACGTGTACATCCATATTTTTAAGTCACATATATATAAAGTGCCATTCTTATTTTGCTATAGCTTTTTGCCCGCAGCAATAAAAAATCACTCCGTTTTAATTTCCATTGAATTTATATGTTGTCATATAGAATTTTTAATATTGTGTATTGAAAAGCAAGTTGCACATAATACTGATCATAAACAATTTTTGCCCATATAAACAGCACACCCTTATACCCGTAATAATTATCTTTAATTTTGAAAAAAAAAAATGTATCGTTTTATTTATCCCTAATTTTACCCCCTTAAGGGATTTAATTTCGAAAAATGCTAAATTAGTACTTATTTAATTGTATTGAAGAGCATTAAATCCAAGTTTCTGATCATAAATTATTTTTTATCCTATAAACTTTATGAACCCCTTTTACCCATTTTCAATTTTTTTACAATTTCCAAAAGAAAAAAAATATTTTTTTATTTTTTATCTAAAAGCTAAATACCACTTTGTTCGTATTTCACATTAAGAATGACAGAGTGTCATACAATCTGTTATGCTCTATTTTATCCACTTAGGGGATGAATTTCGAAAAATTCTTTCCTATCGAATGCATACATCATATGAGGAGCACGTCCTCCAAATTTCACATTCTACGACCAGTGGCTATGTTGTGCGAAGATAGAGCAGTCAGTCTTCGTCGTCAATTATTATATATATATATATATATATATATATATATATATATGTATATATTAGGGTGTGCCTCACCCCAAAGTATCTCAGAAAATGTCCCAACTAAGCTCCTGTTAAAAGCGGAGCTCAAAATTCCAATTCTAAGAGGTTCTCCATCGAACTTTAAGTTTTCCTATACAAATTGTATGGAATATATGATTTTTAACACTTTTTTGTCCTGCAAACTATGACGAAAACATTTTTCAAAAAAATGAATGAATGGACCGTTTTTAGTATTAAATTTATTACAAAAGGTTCCATTGAGTCAAATTTCTATCTTCAATATTTGATTTGTTATATGGCTTTGAAGTTCAAATTTACGGTTTTTTGCATTTTTTAGCTAAACTGTAAGAGTTAGAGAAAAATGTTAAATAGCAAATTTGTGGTACGTTTAAAATTCTATAAAAAAGTATTTGTCAACTTTTTCATATCATCAATAACAACAAATTTACAGACTCACGAATATTTATTTTTAATGATATTTCATGTCCTTTATTAATATATTTTATAATATAGTTGAAAAATCATAAAATATGACTAAATAAGTCTGTAACTCTATTAACTATTGATAATACAAGGTATCTGACCTATCCAATTTTGTTACAAATTTTATGTAATTGCATTTGCACTAATGTTTTTGTTTAATTATTATCGATATTTCAGTTCGTAAAAGCAAAAATTTGAAAAAATAAATATTCGTGAGCCTGTAACACATAGATAGATAGATAGATAGATAAAAGAGTTATATGAATTATTATTAATTTTCTCCCTTTAACTATTTCCACATAATACTCTGATATAAAAAAAGTGTATAATATTATGTATTTTAAAAATTTATTGAATATAATATGTTAATATGTTATATTTTTTTAGTATCAATTGGGAAAAAGAAAGAGCTTTAATGAATGTCACGTGTGACGCTTTATCTCTCAAAGGACAATTCGCAATCTCTGGTGAAAGTCCAGAGATACAAAGTATTATTGGTAGCAATACTATAAACGGTCAAGGTAGAGCTAAAATAAAAGTAGGTAAGTAATATTTGTTTTTATTTTATTAAAGAAAATTTAAAATATTATATTGAATATGTACTAAATAAATCTTGTGAAACTTTAGCAAGAAAATGTTAAAAAAATGTACTTATTACATCACAAACAATATGTGAAAGTTATTAATAATATTACCAGCACTAAGCGAAATATTTGAAAAAATAATTTTAATGCAATCAAGTAATCTCTTTTATTGTAATAATGTGATGCACAATAAACTCGTGATTCCCTGCGAGATGTTTTCAAAAAAATGGTATTAATACGATTGCGTCACAATATATTCTACTGTGTAATAAATTACTTTTTCGCAAAAATTTATATAATTATGTAAAAAACAGTGATAGACACACAAATACCCTTAACGACCGCGGACACGCCGGCGTTACAGTTAACAAAAGATTTCTCAGTTTAATTAATTTCTTAGAAATTTACCTGGAGGTGTTGAACACTACGAATAGAAATAATCTTAATCTTGTTACGCCCAAATTTCACTCCAAAAGGTGAATAGATCCATTTCACAAAATGATTTACCTTTTGAATAAAGATAAAATTAAAAATATGTTTTACTCTGCTAGTATTTATTACTCTATTCAAGAGTTTTTTTGTTGATGGAAATGTGTAGAATAGAGAAATATTCTTATCTATATCGTTATGTTAATAAAATAAACATATGTATCTTCGATATTTTCAAGAGCAGCTGTTAAGTTTCTCGCCGGTTCTTCTCAGCAGAACTGCTTTCCGAACCAGTGGTAGCTTCCTAACGGACTGACTACACTGACACTTAAATTGACGATTCAAAAGTGCTCGTAATAAGTCTAATTGAATAAAGTTTATTTTAATTCATTTATTTCATTTCATTATACCTCTTGGGATTAAATAAATCTAAAAAAAATACCGATTGTAATCATTTTTTTGTTTAAAATACTTCTTGTACAAAAGGGAGTATCGAATCATTTTATATATTATATACATATGTTATTCTTTTGTAATTTACAGATAACGCGAATTTGAACGTCGAATATTCAATGTATGCGACAAAGAAAGATGGTGAGATTTACCTCAAGGTTTCTAACAAAAATATTAAATATACATATGACATTGGAAAGCTGCATTTTAGAACTGAAAAAATCATCATTGCTAACACTGACTTAAGTGAGTAAAATTAGTATTTTAATAGAATTTTACTAGATTGTAATTTAATTTTGCAATATCAACAACTGATGGATATTATAGTATATTTTTTAACATATCCATATCTCGCGGCTTCATCTTTCTACCCAAATCATTTCTCTTTTCCTAGTATAAAATGTACCATGCTATTATATTCCATTTAAATCCATGCAAAAAATTCCAGAAACAAAATCGTATACGCTTTTATTTCATTTTTGGTGTCAAATATATTATCATAATGTAATGTTTAAGAAATCCGTGATCAAATCGTGTTAAAATGGACATATTAATTCGACTTGACTTTGTTGCCATATTACTAGTTAATGCTAATTTACAGGTCAAATCATATCATCCTATTTAAATGATAACTGGAGGGTAATTATGAAGCAATTCGGACCTATAATAATGGACAAAGTACTGGAGTTGTTCCTTGATCTTATAGCGAATATCTGTGATAAGCTTCCAGCCAACAAATATATTATTGAAGACCTTCATTCTTACCTCAAAAATTAAGTTGACTCTGATTACAATACCTATATGTAATAAGTTTAAATAAGAATATGATTATTACAATAAATTATTTTCTAATACATGTTTACTTAAATTTTTTTTACAGTATTTCCTAGAAACTACCTGTAAATACCTCACAAAAGTGAATGCTGCATAAAACTAGATAAAAATAGAGTGCCGTTTACTTTAACGTATCAACTTACGTTTAAAACTCTAGTATATTTGAAAAATATCCTTACAGTTTCTCTTACAAATCTAAAGTCAGTAAACTAAACAATTAATAGCAATCTTTTTCACAAAGAATCCTATGTAAATAAATTAAAAGTAAAAAATATTTAAAAACAAGCTTTTATTTAACGGAGTGACCATTCGTCCTTTAATAGGACTTTTTTATTATTAAAATATGGATGTTTTAAGTGCGAATAGTAACAGCCTTTATTTAATTTTATAAATAAATAAATGGCTTAATCGAATATCTTATTAAAAAACTTTCTTCTTACAAATTACCTGCTTATTAGGTTTACAGTCTACACAAAACATGGAAAAATAAAAACTAAAAAAACCGACTTCCAGGCACTAAAAAGTAAAAAAATAACTAAACGGGGGTTTTATTTAGAATAGATACCTAATCAGCTGATATTTTCGAAGATGGTGCCAGCCGATAGAAATTAAAACAAACTTCTTAGTGCCTGGAAATCGGTTTTTATTTAATTTGTTTTTTTTATAGAGCATTTCAATAAAAGCTTGTTTTAAAAAATGTTTTCTTTCTATTAATTTAATTAAAATTAATATCAAAATAATAGTAAACAATGATGATGATGATGATGTTCTCCTAGCCGATTCCGGCCACGGCGGCCAATCTCAATGAGATTAGCCAACTGCGCAGGAGATATTATAGTGCTCAAGTGTACGCGCAGACACAAGTGCACTCTCTATTCTTGTCCCTCTCATACTCCGGTGGGACGACTACTCGACACGACCGGTGAGAGATAAGGCGCAGGACCGATGGCTTTACGTGCTCTCCGAGGCACGGGGATGAAACACCACCAACTTCCCAACTCCGGGCTGTTACTGAGGCTTACTATACAGAAAGACTCAATAACTAAACTTGGCCCGACCCGGGACTCGAACCCAGGACCTCCGGGTGTGCAGCCGTACATGCTAGCCGCTACACCACCGAGGCAGTTAACAATATGCCATAAACTATCTTAATAACTTTATAGATTTCCGAGCAAACGAAGTATTGCAATAAAAACTTTAAACTTTTTATCAATTATACATACGATATTCCAAATTTACTAATATGAATAATTTTAATAATATGATTTTATATAACTAAAAACTCGTCAAACCTAAAGTCTAGCCAAACCATTTTTTTACGTTGGGAAATGTATTTAGGCACGAGGTGTGGGACTCACCGGCAAAGACAGTACTAACCACTAAAACTCCATGAAACCTGTCTTAATGGGGTGTCGCAGGATCGCTTATGCATTCGACCATGACACCCCGGCGGTGGGTCTGCCGAAGCAGATCACAGCAACCATGGAGTTGCTCCACGGTCCACACGGGCCGTCTTCCCGTGCGTTTCTTGACTTTACTGACCCCCCTCCCCCCCTCCCCCCGCCATTACACGGTGAATGCACGTTGAGGGGAGGCTGGGAAGGGGGACCTAACCTGTCCGAACCTAACCAATGCAATTTTGGTCCATACCATGCCACTAACTATTATGAAGTAAGAATATTTTTCATTCTAGAGCCTGAAGAAAGTCCTAATTTTTCCTTATAGCGCCATACCTGTCTGGTCAGTACTCATTTCATTATTATTATCACAAATGTACATTATATAGCTTTACCTCAAGTGTGATTCCTTAAACTTAAAGAAAATGATTCACCCCTGTGCGATTAATTAGATTGTATTTACATAATGTTGATAGTAGTTTTTCCTTTCGCGTTTTCAATGTACCTATAGTAAAAAAAAACAAAAACTTCTATAATTTTATAATGTTCCAGTGCTTTAATATATCTACTATTTATGATCTCATTAATGTGACGCCTGAACGGATCTAAACGGCTGAACGGATCTGAACGGCTGAACGGTTGTGGATGAAATTTGACACAGAGATAGAGTATGAAATAGGAAATAGCACATAGGTAACTTTTTATGCTGGAAAAATGTACGGTTAGTGTGAGATAGATTTGTTTTCGTTTTTCACTATTTTTTTAAATATATCGTAAAACAAAACAAATAAAAAGCTAGCAACGGTTCATTGAGAATGTTTTCCTTCAAATGTTATTTCCTGGGTAAACCTAAAGGAATTGTGTAAAAATCGTTATCGCTAACGAGTTGAACCGAAAACTCAGTTACTGAGACTCGCCTCAAATAAAAAAATATCTTTCTCTGTGTTTATATTTTAAGATAATAGAAGCATTATATTTTTCGTACACTTTGACAAGTTTTTTAAAAAGTTATACATGTTTTTTGATGATGTATGTGATGATGATGTAAATTTTCTATCTTTTGTTGGAGATCCTTAATAAAATAAATAAAATATAATTGCTAACTTAAGGAAATTACATTCGAATGATTTTGGAATATTATTATTTAGTTTAAAAGTAATTTTATCTCTATATTGACATATTTAAGGTGCGGACAAGAATGAATTAAACGTAAACTAATTCTTATAATCTAAAAAATTAAGGATTTTCCGAGGACTGAGATTTATTTTAGTGACTATAATATTGCTAGCCAAAAATTCAGGCTTCTTTAAGCTCGTTGACTTGCCAATTTCCAAAATAATTAAATCTTTTGTTTGGACAGTCTTTTAGTCACTATTATTTGTCAAGCAATCCAACATACAATCAATTGCAATGTACTTAGTGTTATTTTAGAGTCTAAATTTAGGAATACTTTCGTTAAATAAGTTAAATATTTGTTTTTGTTTCATATAAAGTGGATTCAAAAGCAAAGGAAACAAAGTTACAAATTATAAAAAATAAAAAATTTATTTGGTAGCTCGCAGGAAATATGTATAGTACCTTAGTAGAATCCTGCAGTTTTGTATGAAGTACAGTAATAATTTGATGTTACTTTTATAGTAAACGAGCGTGGAAATTGTTGCTCTAACTTTCCAGCTTTCACGAGTACAGAACTAGATGTTATAGTTGCATTGGAACACGAAATGTAAAGGGTTATGTTGAAAATAGTAGCAGTAATGATTTTTTTGTTGACGACGCTTTATGTTTATTGTCTTAGAAATAGAAAATGATGTAGAAATGAATTCTAATAAAAATGGATAATTGGATAATTGAATTGTATGTACAATGTATATATTTATTTATTTAAATAGAAAAATAAATATCACTTATTTATTCACTAACTTGAAATCTCGACAACTACTAGACCTAAGGAGCTGAAATCAGAGTATAGTATCTGTATTCAGCCCTTTTTAACGTCCCACTGTTGGGAATGGGCCTCTCTTTAATACGAGGGGAATCAGGCCATAGTCCACCACGCTGGCCAAGTGCGGGTTGGTGGACTTCACGTCATGTCTTTTGAAAACTTGCTAGGTTCTCTCAGACGTACAGGTTTCCTCACGATGTTTTCCTTCACCGTTAAGACAAGTGGTAATCATGTTGGAAATGATTCGCACATGAAAATATCAGAGGTGCGAGACCAGGGATTTGAATTCGCTTTACTCGGTTTCCAAAGCGAGCACGCTACCACCGGGCTATTACTGGCAGAGTATAGTATTTTATATAATAAGAATAAATAAAGTATAGTATAATATAGTATTAGTATATTATATGTATATTAAGTGTATATGTAAGTCCTATGCTTTTCCTGCTAGATACATAAAAATAAGTTTGTATGGTTAAATAAAGTACGCAAGTAGAGTATTTAATAATGAACATAATCTGATGACACGTTTGGCTCAGTAGTAACCCTTGTTGTTATGCCAGCGGTGTACTTTAATCATGGGTATTTATAATATGTATGTATTTAAAGTTATGTGTAGTGTATCCATGGTATCCATAACACAAGCCTAAAGCCTTGTAGCTTACCAAGGAACTAGATGGTGCTTTGTGTTAGTGTCCCAACATTTGTTTATAGTATATTTATTTGAGTAATATGTATTGAGCATTACTTACAGTTTAAAATAATTTATATGCTTAAGATAGAATTTGGTTAATATTAGGCATTCGTGTAAAATATTTAAAAAGATATTTACTTTCTTAAATAAATATATTATGTAACATAAAATCAGAACAATGCACTAAATATCACCATAAAAAAATTCTTCATCGGAGAGTGGATAGATGTGTTGCGGCGCCGTCACGTCACATTCAATAGCGTTAAATAATAAGTAGACGAGCGTTTACAACACGTTCTGGATATTATTTTTTAGAACAAAGCTTTCATAGGAGCTTTCATTAAAACTACTGCTTTGTAAAATATTTTTCATAAATAAAATGTAGTTTAGAGTTTAAAATGTAGAATATATTAAAAATCATAAAGTTTAATAATTCACTTTTTAATCCTTTAATCTATCTAAACTGCCTCAGTGGTGTAGTGGCTAGCATGTACGGCTGCACACCCGGAGGTCCTGGGTTCGAGTCCCGGGTCGGGCTAAGTTTAGTTATTGAGTCTTCCTGTATAGTAAGTCTCAGTAACAGCCCGGAGTTGGGAAGTTAGAGGTGTTTCTCCCCCGTGCCTCGGAGAGCACGTAAAGCCGTCGGTCCTGCGCCTTAACTCTCACCGGTCGTGTCGAGTGGTCGTCCCACCGGAGTATGAGAGTGATAGGAATAGAGAGTGCACTTGTGTCTGCGCGTACACTTGAGCACTATAATATCTCCTGCGCAGTTGGCTAATCTCATTGAGATTGGCCGCCGTGGCCGGAATCGGCTAGGAGAACATCAATCTATCTACTTTTTTATATTATTTTGCCTTTTGTATTGTAGTACTTAAACATTCTTAATTTAATAAAAAATGTTTTAGATTTA